TTTAATAAACGCTGCAAAAAATAAAACTTTTCGCAACATTCAATAAACGAAGTTATAAAATTAACTTTTAGCAACGTTTATAAGACTTTTAGCAGCGTTTAATAAACGCTGCAAAAAATAAAACTTTTGCGAAATGCGACATTAGCAACATCCATTTAAAAAATGTTGCCAAAAAACTCAATTATGTTAACCAATGGCAACATTCACTTATTAAAATGTTGTGATAAATCCCTTTATGAACATTTAACTACCGAATGTTTCCTTTTATGTGTTGCAAATGACCATTTTTTGTGTAGTGATACTTTGTGATTATTGAGTGAAATATTGGATGGTGAGAGGAAGAGCAAAGGCTATACTATTCTTTGTCAATAGTTGTTGTGGTTAAAAGGAGAGATTAAAGGGATAGGGTTTGAAAACCCTCATGTTTTGTAATCAAACCTTTCCCTATTTATGGGGCTTTATAGTGAATTCGGGCTTAATTTTATGGGATGTTAAATGGGGAATTAAACGTTAGAAGTGTTTGCTGAACTTCCGAGGCTTCTGGCCAAAAATCTTTGTGTTATTGTTATTGTTGACATTTTTCTCAGTTTATTTTACTCTAGTTTCTTAAAGTACAAACCGTTGAGTCACAAACTCAACAACAACAGTGGTAACACAGATTTGAAATCTTTACTTTTGACTCTTTAAAATTTTTAAAAAATTGATCTAGCTTCGAAATTCTTGAATCTTTTGTAAGAATATCAGATCTATAAAGATCTATAATTCTTTTGGTCAAGAAACCCTTTGATTGGAATTTGAAGTGGATCTCTGGTAACTTTTGAGAAACCTGTTTTGCACTTTTATCTCTCGTAATAGATTTTTTTTTAACCTCTCTTTTAAATTCTATTTTTCAAGAATATATGTTGTTATCATCTTTAGAGGATTCCTAAAGCCCCATTCGTTTACCTTTGTCTAGGGATCCTATGAGAACCCTTGAATATGAGATAAGTAGGGTTTAGTTTGAAAAAATCTATGAGTGAATTGTTGCTTATTTTTTTCTTGAAAATTCTAATATGTTGTTAGGTGGTAGCTATTATTGATTACAGTTGGATTATAAATTTACATTTTTATTAACTGCAATATTGTATTGAAACTATTATTGATTCTCATAATTCAATATTTTAAGCACAAAATTGCATGTGAATAAATTGTATATTGCATGCTTTAAATTCTCATTGTTTACTGAGTGTAAGCATAACTAAGTGTTGTACATTTGTTATATGATCCTTGCACATCCATTACGTTAGAAATATTGAGGTATACATTTTATGATTTTGTGATTTGTTCACTTAACTTAGATATGTGTGGTATATTCCTACTCAATGTTTGTAATGTTTTTGAAATTATAACTACACTATTGCACACCATGACCATTCGGATAGATGTTAAGATGTGGAATGACAAAAAAGACTTCAGTCTCGAGCGCCAGAGGATGAAGGCCCTCATGTTATAATTAAAGTGTGCTATGGTCATTGATGAATCTTAGCTAGACAACATTGCCGCTGAAAGAAAAACTAAACACGATGAGTTGGCCTGGAGCATTATGTTTCTCCATTTATTTAATTCTGTAATTAGAAATGCAGGAGATACAAGACTGTTGTTGAATTATAGATTGCCTTAGAGAAACTCTATCTTACCAAAACCCTACCAAATAAGTGCTTCTTATGGAAATAATTCTTTAGTCACAAATTTGATCCTAGTGTAGACTTAGAAGAAAACTTGGATAAATTTAATAAGACCACACAAGATTTTATTAACTGTGGTGAAAAGATCTCTAATGATCAAAAGGTAGTTGGCCTACTTAATTCACTTGGTGATAGATATAAATACATAAGGAATGCATTAGAACAGGATAGGGATGACTTCACTATTGATATTATTCATACTTCATTATAGAATGAAGATTTGGAGTTAAAATTTAGAACTTATAGAAGCCCTTCATGTTGAAAATTCCTCATCTAATTCAAAACTTCAAATTAAGGGGTTGAGTAATTTCAGTCAAGTGAATTAAAATATAAA